TTTATTTATTATATATATTTTTTATTTTTTATACTATATTTTTTAATATAATATATTTTTGAATATATAGATATATATATGAAATATATTCATATTTAACAATATATTAACTCATTATTTTTTATTTTTTAATATTTTTTAAATATATATTAGCTACATAAAAAGATTTTTGCATTTTAATATATATTTAATGAAATTATTTATATTTAAAGTTATTTTTATTTTAATTTTTTGTTTTTTTTTTAATTTTTTTAATTTTTTAATTATTTTTTTATTTTTTTAATATATATAAACGAAATATAGTTATAATTACTATATATTATTTTTATTTTTTAGATTTTTTATTGTTTTTTATCTAGGTATAATGCCACATATATAACACATAGGAAACTAAGAAATGTTTACAGCATGATTGGATATAAATCCAACCCAAAAAATCCAATCATTTTTAACTCAATCATTTTTTTAACTCAACCCCACTATCATCAATATTATCAATATAATTAAATAATATCAATCAATCATTCTTACACACAACATCAACCTTAATTAACTATTCATCACCTCACATAATTTTAACTAACCATCACATCACACATTCTCTCTCCTACTTTTACATCAATTTAATTTTAATCATTTTATTTTAAATATTATTTTAATATACCCACAAACAACTAACCATACCAACTTTTTCAAATTTAACCAATCCAATCAAAACATAAACATTTTATATCCAATCATGCCCTTAAATGCCACTCATCACTTAATCCCGCCGGGGGTGATTATTGTATATTTTCCGATCAAAATGCCAACTAAATGTTTCTTTTTCGTTTGGGACAACAAAATGTCGCTTTTCTTGACAACGCCTAACATAGTGTATCTTTTTTGTAATTTTGCCTAAAAGAAGACGTTGTACGCAACGAAAGGTGAATTAGAGGAAAAAGTGCAATGGAAAATTAGACGCCTCTATTGACTCGTAAAGGGGATTTGACGTTGGTTTTACTATAATTGAGGCTCAAGAAATGAAAATTTGTATATACCCAATGAAGAGATGGGAAACAAAACCTCCCAACCTTGCACGAAGAGAAAGTTTTCAAAGTCCATTTTGAGCGTCATTGAATTAAGAAAAATCTAAAGTCCGTTGTTACTGCTTTCCATGCCCCTTTTTCGGGTCTCCTCGAGCTATAACGCAGAGATTCAGGCGCTTCAGATCGGCCGCCTTGATCTCCTCTCATATTTGGATTGAATTGGACGTTGCCGCTGTCATCATACTCTTGACCTCTGGTCATCAGGACACTTGGCAGATTCAGCATCCACTCATGTGGATTAGAGCCATATTGCGGTCGATTCGATATCAGATCTCACACATCTTCCGCGATGGGAACCGACCTGCTGATTTCCTTGCTGGCATCGGGTCCTCCTCTCCCCAGAGACGTATTCTTCAGCCTGATGATATTCCTCTCCGCCTCCGTACCTCTGGTCCATCCTTCGTTCAGATTTGGGCAGATGGACCTACCTTTTGGTGCTTTTGCTTCCTCGTGATGCTGACTCTTCGTCTGGACTCTCTTTCGACTAGGATAAGATATTTTGATGATTATTTGCTGCTGTTGTCTTTTTCTTTTACTTGTTTCTTTTTGTTCTCGTTTATTTGGACTGTTGTTTGTTGGACATCGGACTGTAGATTTGTGACTTTTCAGCCTATTTACGGCCCTTTTTATATCCAAGTTGGGAGTTTAGCTTTAACCCTCCATTCTCCCGGAGTGTTGTTATCTTTAAAACAAAAAGTCTAAAGTCTGTTGTTCATATGTCCCGGTGCACCAAGTTGATCAGGTCTCCATAATTTATTTCTAAAAATAGTAAATTGAAAAAAAAAAAATTACCCACACCCGCGCGCAATAAAAAATCTGAGAGAGCAAGAAACTAGATCTACCTACCCAGCCCCAGGCCCCAGCCTGCGAACCCTTTTCTATCATCATTAATTATTCTTGGTGTTTTCTTTTGTATTTTCCAAATTCCCATCTTTAGTATTCTAAACAAGCTCCTCTCTCTGTTTACTCACTCTTGGCCCCCCTGATGACCGTGCAAATCTTGATCCACTCCCCCTTTTATCGCCACCCACGTTACATTTCCATTTTCTGATGCTATAATCATTTCAGGTGATCTAATTCAGATCTGCTCAGATCGACATTTTTTATTATGTGAGCATTTTTTTATCCCCGCCTGATCCTGTTTCGATTTGTTGATTTAGTCATTTTCTTTAGTTGGAGTTGCTTTGATTTGATCTTGGACTAATCAATGCTCGTGACTCTGAAATCCCGGCTTTTGAAATTGCTTGTTTTAATGCATTGTTTGATGAATGCTAAGCTTGTGGAGGGCTTGATATTGTAGATCTGCCTTCACCAGCTGTGGTATTGAATTGTTTTATGGAAGAAGATAGAATTTCATTGAATTTTGTGTTGGTTTCTTATTTTCATTGGTGGCTAAGATTTTACGGTATTTGTACCGCTGAAGAGAAATGGGTGGATTAGGAAAAAATGATGTGAACTTCTTTGGAATATACTATCGGAGTTCTAATAAGTATGGAAAATAAGTGATCGCCCACCCCCCAAGTAGGTGAAATATATTTAGTTGAAAGGGATTGCAATCGGTAGCTCTGAGAATATTTCTCATTTGTGGAAATAACTAGTAAATCTACTTGATAGTGTGGTCTTTTCCTGTTCTGTTTTTGGTTAACTTTGTTGTAGTAGGAGCACTCATTGTCTCAGTGGCAACCAATTTAAGTTGTATTTATGGTTGGATTTGAGCCACAGTTGTAGAAAACACTAATTAGGCCCTGAAAATTTGGAATTTTTGTTAGTACAAATGTTGATATAGTATGCGTTTTGTACTTTTGATTGAAGTTTCAACTTGAAAGTGAGTATTTTTCTTGTTCTACTTTAACATTTTTTCAGCTGACCTTACAGTTTGAAGCATTCCAAACCTTATTATCTGTGCATCGCTTGTTCTTGAACACACTATTTTAAATTCACGGACTGTCTTGGATCAAGTTGGTTCAGGGTTGAATCTAGAAAGATGATTTAACAAATCAAAATTCTCTGAATTCGCAACCACATACTTTCCTATCTTCTATTTTATAAACCTTGATTTGTGCCATCCATAAAATAGTTCATGTCCGTTCATCCGTATTTGCCGATTATGTTGCAGGTTTTGATACAGCACTAGTCTGAAAATGGGATCATTTTTGTGACCTATAAAGTCACAAAACCCAGACAGCCGGAGTGGGGGCTGGCTTTTACCAAGGATATTAGCCCAAGATTTAAAAAATAAAATAAAGATAAAAGCCAATGAGGGGGAGATCGGATGGGGCGCAGAAAAAGCGCTTGTTGACTTCTATGTTTGTTGTGGCTGTGTTTCTCATCTTTCTGTATGCCTACTTTGGCTCCAAAAATGGTGGGGAATCTGCTATAGAGTATGGAAGCCGATCTTTGAGGAAACTTGGTTCTTCGTATTTGGGTGGGGATGAAGATTCTGATCTCGGTCACAACCAAGATGAACCTTCAACCAAGTTATCTCTGGATGACGAGGATGGTGTCACCCCAAAAAGCTTCCCGGTAATATGTTTCCACAATTTGCCACACGAACACCTTAGGTTTAGCCTAATTACAAAAAGGCTCCTTTTATTTTGAAAATTATTAATACCTTTTTTATTTCTCAGTTAGTTAGGTTGAACCTCTGGGTAGTTTTTGTAGTTAGGCACACAGTGTATGCAAATTAGCTTTATCTGCTCAATACACGAATAGTTATTCTGGATAGAATGATCCACTGCACCACACTGTCTGTAATTTGTATCTTGATTCTGGTTTAGCGATTGGCCTTAATTATTACTTTTGTCAACATTAAGGTCTGTGACGATCGGCATTCAGAGCTGATCCCATGCCTAGACAGACATCTTATATATCAAATGAGATTGAAGTTGGACCTATCTTTGATGGAGCACTATGAAAGACACTGTCCACCACCTGAAAGGCGATTCAATTGCTTAATTCCGCCTCCAGAAGGATATAAGGTGGGAAATTTTGTATGCAGTTGATTTATAGTTTTTAGTTATTTATTATTTTTTTTTAGCGTTTATGTACTTGTTTTATTTGGTAACTACAGATCCCAGTCAAGTGGCCTAAAAGCAGAGACGAGGTCTGGAAGGCAAACATTCCTCACACTCACCTTGCACATGAGAAGTCTGACCAGAACTGGATGGTTGTCAAGGGCGACAAGATTCATTTTCCAGGAGGCGGGACCCACTTTCATTACGGAGCGGACAAGTACATTGCTTCTATTGCGAATGTAAGTTTCCTTTTCCTCTTGTATCAACAATTGCATTGCGAGAACCTGATAACAAAGAGAGTTGAAGAGTATATTATCTTGCACGATATGGTTAATTCTTTAAGGCAGTGATTGCATTTTGAGTAGATATCATACGGAAAGTTTGATGCATTTGCTTCGATGGACTTGAAATCCTGAGCTGTTTCAATCCATTCACCTTAATGCAACCTGATAACCCAACCAAATCGACCTGAAATGTATTTTTATTTTTTCCAGCTGATACATCACGCAAAATACGCTTGTACCAAATTGATTGAATTTGCCCCATTAGACGTCCCCCTAAACCTAAATCTCATTAACTTGTAAATAAAATTAGTGTAACCCAAAAAATAAAAATTTATGAAAAAATAAAATCTTAAATTGCATGAAAAACTAGAAAATGTAAACAGTGAGTCACCATAAAAAAAAAAAAGAACAAAAAAGAAAAATATGAAAAATGCATGGTCCATTCCAGTTTTTGAATCATAATCTTGCCGATGCTTTATTGGAATATTGGATTTGCCCCATTAGACGTTCCCCTAAAACTAACTCTCAATAACATGAAAATACAAATAATGTCATGAAGAACTCTAAAATGTAAACAGTGAGACACCATAAAAATTGGAAAAAATAAAAAATAAAAAATCTCAAAAATGCATGCTCCATTCCAGTTTCCGAATCCTAATCTCCCCGATGCTTGCAGATGCTCAACTTCTCGAACAACAACCTGAACAACGAAGGCCGTCTCCGAACAGTGTTTGATGTTGGGTGCGGAGTTGCCAGCTTCGGTGGCTACCTTCTTTCATCTAACATTGTGGCCATGTCGCTAGCCCCTAACGACGTTCACCAGAACCAAATCCAGTTCGCACTCGAGCGAGGAATCCCTGCCTACCTTGGGGTCTTGGGCACTAAGCGACTACCCTACCCCAGCAGGTCATTCGAGCTGGCCCACTGCTCCCGCTGCAGGATAGACTGGCTCCAGAGGGACGGTATCCTTCTTATGGAGCTCGACCGGCTTCTGAGGCCGGGTGGCTACTTTGCGTATTCTTCCCCCGAAGCATATGCACAGGATGAGGAGGATCTCAGGATATGGAGGGAAATGAGTGGACTTGTCGAGCACATGTGCTGGAGGATTGCTGCTAAGAGGAATCAAACTGTGATATGGCAGAAGCCACTCACTAATGACTGTTATCTGGGGAGAGAGGCTGGGGCTCAGCCGCCTATGTGTCGACCGGATGACGATCCAGATGCTGTCTGGGGGGTGCAGATGGAGGCTTGCATTACACCTTATTCTGAACGTAAGTGTTTTTTTTTTTTTTCTTTTTTTTTTTTTTTTGAATTATATAACTACAAAGGCGAGACCCATAAATTTTCTTATATTAATCTACCAGCGGGGACGAAAAGTGTACCTCATAACTTGTGACAATGGAAACACATATAAAACATGAATAAGCATTAATATAATAGGCTAAATATAGAATATACATATGGTATTTCGTAAGATTGATCACAATGCAAAAGGCAGTGGACTTGCACCATGGCCCGAGCGTTTAACTTCGCCTCCCCCACGTCTTGCTGATTTTGGCTATTCGAGTGAAATGTTCGAGAAAGACACGGTAATTTTGGAAATATGGTCAAATGGCTTTTGTTTCTTTTATTTGTTTTGGTTGGTGATATTGTTGATAAGCAACCAAGATGAACGAGAATTTTTATTTTCCATTTTTTTATTTTTTTTTTAATTTTGATTGATGTGCAGGAACTATGGAGGCAGAGGGTTGATCATTACTGGAATCTCTTGAGTCCGAAGATTAGGCCTGACACCATAAGGAACGTAATGGATATGAAGGCGCATTTGGGATCGTTTGCTGCTGCTTTGAAAGACAAGGACGTGTGGGTGATGAATGTTGTGCCTGAAGATGGGCCCAAGACGCTTAAGATCGTTTACGACAGAGGCTTGATTGGCTCTGTTCATAACTGGTACGTTTCTCCACGTCCACTCGGCTGAAAATTTCAAGTCTAAAAACTCCACATTGTTTTCATAGTAATTTTTATTTTTTGCAAAAGTGTGTACCCCTAGGTTTGGCCTAATTACTGAATGAAGTCTGTTATCTCTAAGCATACAACTCTTCTCTTGAAGATAAAGAATTCTACAAGCGCATTGGTAGCTGAAAATCCAAAAAAGAACCCTCAAAACTGAAAAGTTATAAACTTGAGGAAAAATCTGAATGATCAACCTGACAGAAAAAACTTCAAAATAAAAATAGAAAAAAGGAACTGAGAAATCCAAATTTGGATCTGACACGAGTTATTAAAGTTGACATGAGTTTTGTGTTTTACTTTCAGGTGTGAAGCCTACTCGACATACCCGAGGACTTACGATTTGCTGCATGCGTGGACTGTGTTTGCCGATATCGAGAGAAAGGGTTGTGGTGGTGAGGATTTACTTTTAGAGATGGACCGTATTCTGAGGCCGACAGGTTTTATTATCATCCGGGACAAACGGCCGGTTATCGATTTCGTGAAGAAATATTTGCCGGCATTGCACTGGGAAGCTGTGGCGACATCTGATTCGTCCTCTGAAAACGGACAAGACAACGATGAAATAGTTTTGGTCGCCCAAAAGAAATTATGGCTGACGAGCGAGAGCTTCAGGGACACGGAATAAATGTTTATTTTTCTTCACAGTTGTCAATTTTTTTTTTTCATGAGTTTGATGATCTATAGGGTGCATCTCGAGAAATAATGAGTAAAAATGGTTATGTTTCTTAGACGATGGCAAAATTTTATTTTTCTTTTACTTTTGTGTTTTCCTGTTCTAATTATTTGGTTTTAGTAGATGAGCCATCAACGGGGCTTTTCTATATATAGGACTATACATATATATTCCGAATTGTGTAATTTTTATGAATTTCAGAGCCATAGATGTGTTCGTTTAATTGATTGTAGGGTGTATTTGTTTGAGATTTTTAGTGATATTTTGAGACTTTTTAAGATTTGAGATTTTTTTAATTTTTCAATTTTTGAGGAATCTTGTGAAATCCTAAGTTTGTAGGTGGGACTTAGAGCGAGATTTTGTATAAAGTTTTTTCTTTTGAAATTCCAATAAATTTTAAAGTCTTAACAAATCCTACTTTCAATACATTATGATTTTGTAAGACTTTTAAAATCATGAATACTCCAAGCTTTTGAAAATATTGAAAGGTAATAAAAAAATCTAAATTAAATACATTAGAATTTCTAAATTGTTAAAAATTATTTAGAAATCCTAAATGAATGCATGTACTATGTAATCATCATATGCACGTATCTAAATAAAATATTATAAGTTATGGGTATGGATATAATATTAAAATTATGATTTAGATAATGGATATATCACATTTTCAAAATTTTATTATTACTAAAAATAAAACAGTATAAATATATGTTTTCACTATTGAAGAAAGTTTGTGAATTATGTAATGATCATGGTCGATTAATTTAGTTGATTATTATTATTATTATTATTATTATTATTATTATTATTATTCGAAAGATTTTAAAGTGGTTTGACTATGCTATTAATACTATATAGCAAACTTTTTTTTAAAAAAATTACTTCATTTCATACCAAAAAGAAAATATTAGTTTTAGAATAAAGAGCTTCAAGAAAAAATCTTGGTATAGAATATTTGCTAGTTATTTAACTAAAATAATTATAACGGTTTCCTACCATAATTAACTAAAAAATCTTTACATGAAGATGTTGTAAATATTTTTCTTTATATAAGGATGATGTTTAATATTTACAATAATTTTTTTTGGAAAATAAAATAAAATAATAAATATTGACAACTACTATTAAACCACATAATGAAGAATACTAACTCATTATTGTGGAAAAGTATTTCCAAATAACTTCGGCAAGAGTTATCAAACGTCATATTAAAGATGTTGAAAGTTTCAACATGACCCTCATATTTCTTTTAAGATCTTTGATTGGGTCAAAAGGTTGGTCCATTTCATTTGACCGTGTGTGTGAGCTTAGTTTTAGATAAATTTTTGGTGCATATATTTGTACTTATTTTCGTAATTTTTAAAATGTGGATTTACATGAATATAAGCTTATTACTTGATTTTGTTTTATTTGTCGATTTTGGTGGAAATCAGATATCTCAATAATATACCACGACT